TTGAGCAAGAAAAAGAGTTGAATACAGTGTTTAGCACCGAAGTACAGTAATAAGGGTTAGCTTTCAATAATGTAATGATCAACGCCATGTAAAGTACGGTAAAATTAACCGGTCTTTATAGCAGTTAGCCCTTCATGGTGTAATACAGTACAAACATGGATTATACCTCAAATGACGCGGGTTCAAGTCCTGCATACTACCTATTGTTTTCTTTCTTCTCTTATTTACTACTTTAAGTTATAAGACTCCTATCATGTATTTTGAGTGAAGATGACAACCTGACTTTGGGGTATCCATTCTAGTCACAACCGTTTTCAGACCGAAACGGCGGAAAAACCCTACCCTTTGGGGCAGCACATACCTACATGGCTTATATAAGAGAGTACCCCCCCCCGGGAATGAGATCAAATCACAGGTCATAAAAGGGCTTGATCACGGGTTAATTCAATGGTTTTTTCTTGTTTCGTTAAATACAGTGAGCCCTGAAATTGCTTTTAAGGCCTCGTGCAGTCACTGTGTGGCATTTCTTCATTGAAGGGTTGCAACAAATAAATTAATATCAATGGTAGTAGTAGCCTATCTAAATAACTTAACATCCCCAACGGGCTTTTGGGAAACTATTTTCAAGTAAATGTGAATAAACTTAATAAAAGAGTAAGAGAGTAAAACATCCTCCGAGTGTAAAAGAAGCAAGCCGCTATGAAGCGTAAACTTCGGCGTGATGGTTGTGGATTAATTGTGAATGTGGAGGAATAGTAAGAAATGATATTTTTCTGGATACCCCTCCATAAAAATACCCCTAATTTTCTCCTTTTGTGTTACAGACATCTTAACTTCTTCACCGGAAGTCTGCTAGGTGCATTACCGCGTGGCTGTAATCCAATAGACCTGCCTTTTTACCGATACGGCGGCCATATTGAATTAATTCGATTTAAGGAGTATTATGGAATGCCCAGGGGAGTGATACGAACTACGAGTCACTATTTCAAGTTCGCGATAATTTATAAATGTTATTTTCCTTTCTCTGTTTGAAATTCGAAAAGTTTAAGGTTCAAAAATGTCTAAGCAGAAGATTAAGAGCGATTTTAAGGCCAAGATCATGGCAGAACCGTGCAGGAACGAGGAGTACTTCTGGTGGAAATTCCTGCCTCAGTAGCTAAAATGGTTTTAACATTGGAACTAAACTTCGGTGATGTAGGCAAATTTCATAATGCGTAAATAATTCACATTTCAAAATTCATGATCACACGTTATTACTTTCAAATCCATTTTCGCTAAAAAGACCGTTTGGCCATTTGTTGTTCGACATAAGTTCCAATTGTATATTACTGCAAACAGGGACTCGAAACTTTTGATGACGGTTTTGTTAATGGTATTTACTAACTGCTAAGTTGAATCAAGAGGCTGTTCACATATCTGTAGCAAAAAAGTGCAGGCTTCCGTGAACATGTACTGGGTTTGTATTTAATCGTGAAGATACAAACTTCAGGCAAGATAAGAATAAGCTATAATTATATTTAGGCGCGTAAAAGGCGGTCGAGACGAAAATGTAAGCCGCTGCAGTATCATGAATTATAAGTGTGTCTGCATCATTAGTTTCATTTTTTCCAAGTTTAGATCCATTGGGCAAAACCTTTCTTTCAACTGAAGAGGAGATTTCCACGCGCTTGTTGAAGCTCAATGTTCCGGCGAATATTTTTCTTGTTTTAACACACTCGAGGCGGATTAAGTCACTCCTGATCTTCTGCTTTGACGGTTTTAACCTTAAACTATTTGATTTTCAAACAGTGAAAGGGAAGGAAAACGAGAACTTGAAATAGCGACTCGTAGTTCGTACAAGTACAGTATGTGACAGGGAACGGATGTCCGAACTTTCAAGGTTTGTTTACAACAAAGGTCATCAAAAATCACGTGAACCTACGCGTGAAATCAGCTGACGTTCAGAGGATGAATTCGGAAAAAACACGGATTTTGAGCAAGCAATACAAATTCGTTGCGAGACATTTCGCTTATCCCTCGGCTCCAAGAAGAGCAAACAATATGCCTGTGATCTGTTGCAAAAGGAAAAAGAAGCATTCAAACAAATTTGCGTACCGAATCTTTAACCGTACCTCGTGCATAACTTATTGCTATTTTTCACATCTTAAATTACCTTGCGTCGCAGTGGCGCAATCGGCTAATCCCTCAATTTAGAGTCTCATCTGCTCTGACGGGTCACACGTAAGCCGGTTCAAACCCTGGGCAAGCCAGAAATAATAATTATTTCTTCTTTAATTCTTCCAGAAGTAATGATTATCGCTTCCTCATAAATCAAAGAACTCGACGATATCTCGAACAAATTCCGAAGCAACTTCGAGACCTCTGGATGCAACTTTGAAACACTCCTGAGCTGCGCGAATCCTTTATTTCGAGCTCCGCCGAACTTATCACTTACTCAATAAACTATGATAAAATTACAAAAGTTTAGGTTAACTGCAAATAAATTACAAATTGCACTGAGCATGAAGATATTCTTTCATGGATGCCTGCAAATTTGCTACCGAGGTAGCTTGGAGCTAGGTCATTTAAATATATATAAGCCATTACTGAGTCTTTGAATAGAAGTAATTGTTTAACAGGAAACCAGATAAGCTGGCGAAGTAAGGGTGTTACGTGGTCGTATATTGATTGGATGTTGTTTATATTAGTGGCAGAGTATTTGACCATACTAAGGAACAATAGAGCGTTTTGCTGAATACCTGGGATGAAATTACCAATAAAAGAGTTTTTGAGTCGAAACTCGCTTTAGAAAAGCAGAAGAAGACTACCTTTGAGACGTGATCGTTATAAGTTACATGTGGGTCAAGAATGACACCCAATTCCTTGGCGGAGGCAGATGGCTTTAGAGGCTTGCCAAGAAAGGTCACAGTAGGACTGGAAGGTAATCCACTTATCAGCTGCCTGTCTCCGATGAAAAGGAGTTTGGTCTTGTCCGGGTTAATCATAAAGTTGTTATCACAGCACCACCTTCCTACGTTGCGCAGGCGAGTGCTCTCAACTTTGCGCAACCATTGTTCCCAATAAAGAAAACTAAAAACGAACAACGTTACTGAGCTAGACAGTATTCCTGCACGCTTGCTTAAGAAAGGAGCCCCGGTTATTTCGGAGTGCTTGACTCACATAATTACCCATTCCTTTTCATCAGGAGTGCCGGACGATTGGAAGACTTCAAGAGTTGTTTCTTTACTGAAGTACGGTAACAGAGAAGAAATTGATGACTATCGTCCCATCTCTATTCTCCCAGTGACCTTCAAAATCGCTGAGAAAGTCGTATATAATCATCTTTTTAGCTATTTAAATGCTAACAATCTTCTGTCGTCCTGTCAATCTGGCTTCCGGAAGAATTTCTCCACTGAAACAGCTGTAACCATTTTTGTGGATGAAATCCGTAGAAATATAGATAACGCTCTTCTCACTGGGGCGGTCTTGAATGATTTCAAGAAGGCTTTCGATACGATAGGCCACCGTATCCTTCTAAACAAACTTCAGAGATGTGGCGTAAGTAAGAGGACTTTTCTCTGGTTTTCTAGTTATTTGCAAGGCCTTTCCAAACACGTAGAGGTCGACAAAGTTCTCTCCTCGCCCCTGGTTATAGCTTCTGGCGTCCCTCAAGGGATCAATTTTGGGCCCCGTGCTCTTTATATTGTACATAAATGATATGCCCCCTCTTATTTGTTTCTCACAAGTTCTGCTGTATGCTGACGATACAGTGTTGTTGTTTTGGCTCTAAAACTGCTATTGAGCTAGAAGCAAGCCTTAACACTGACATCAACCGTATTTCTTCGTGGATGCAAGAAAATAAGCTATTTTTGCACATGAGCAAGACTGAATATGTGGCACACCAACGGCTCAAGCGGGAAGATAGTATAAGCTTATCCTGCAATGAATCTTCGTTGACGGAATCCGAGTCTTTCAAATACCTTGGCGTCGTAATTGATCAGCACTTGAGTTTTAACAACCATATTCAGCACGTAGTCAACAAAGTTTCGAGAAAACTGGGTGCTCTTAGGCGTTTGAGAATCTATGGCTGCAGCTGTACGCCTCTACAATACGATGATTTTACCCATTTTTGAATACTGTGACGTGGCCCGGCACGGGTGTGGAAAAGTTAACTCTGATGCTCTCGAGAGTTTACAGCATACAGCCGCAAAGTCTGGTCTTGATACTAAAGAACTGAATGCTACCTTGGGTCTAGTGCCTTTGATTAATAGCAGTAAGCTTCACATTGTCTTGTTAACAAAAAATCAGCCTCGACGGTTCAGTTTTACCCTACTTAAATAATTATTTTAATTTAAATGCGTCCGTACACCTCGTAACAACTACTGTAGACGCTGTAATAATATTCATACCCCGAAAGTGAACCTAGAGGTCACAAAGAGATCGTTTTGCGACGGAATTTAACAGCCTTCCTACTTTTATCAAATTAAAGAAATCGTTCCTTGATTTCTCACGAGAAACTATAAATCTTTTTCTTAGTTAGTTAATAAATTTTATCTGTTTGATGTATATATATTTTTTATATCTAGGCCGTGCACAATTTTCTTGGATTTTACCTTTTAGACTTTTGTATTTTCGCTTATGCATTTTAATAACTTGACCCCCTTTGATAAGTATAGGTAATAGCATGATTTGTAGTGATGTTTGACATAAATACCACGAGAGATATTTCGAAATTGTTATACGTAATTTCACGAGCCGTTAGGCGAGTGAAATTTGAGACAATTTCGAAATATCACGAGTGGTATTTATGCCAAATATCACGTACAAATCATGCTACTATTTGTTTATACTACTACCCGCAAAAGGTTTGTAATTTTCACATGTAGGTATTTCAAATTAAGCTGAAATACCACTGCTCTAAGCCAATGAAATTGCAGAAATTTCTCATGAGGTAGTATAACAGTGTTTATTACACCGACGAGGGTTATCCTGTATGAATATTATCATTATTACATATAATACAAAGCGTAAAGGTCCATAACTCACAAAATACACGGATAAATCCAACTTTGATTGCGTCTGTTGGTTAAGAATATAAGATAGGCGATAGTGATTTATTATGAAATTCTCCCCGGGGCCCACTTGCTCTAAGAACTTTACAGTGAAGTCATGAGAGGGGGTTAAAAATCGCGGTATTGTCCGTACCTTAGCGGAAGTACGAATGTTAACAATTTGAACCGGCTTTAATGATATTTTAACAATTAAAATTGCTCTCACAAAACGCATTGTACAAAGATCTGTTATCGCTAAGTAACCTCTGTCTGATGAGGTAAAGATGGGAGTAAATTGTAAGATGGACCCATACTTTCCCCAACGGATGCATGTCTTGGCACGAATGATCTTATATCTGTGCAGTTCCATGTTCCGTATTTCGTTCCCTGACAGAGACGGAGTTCTTTATTCAACTCTTTCTCTTTTTGATTCAAACGCAGCCCAGTCGGATTGTTCTTCCGGGAAAAGAGGAATGGCAGATGATACGATATCGGCGAACTGAAGTTCCGTAAATTTGGAAAAACATGACCTGTAAAGGAAAAAATAACATAATGAGAAAAAATAGGATAAAGCAAATAATGTGTTCTGATTGGCTACCCGAGTGGACAAGATGGGTCTATTGCCTGCTCGCCGGGATTTCCCGCGTTGGTCCCGGAAGAATTGTTCTGTCAAGATGGCTAGATATTGGGCTCCGTTTTTATTGACCTCTTCTTCTCGGTCCATAAAGACGCAAAAAAGAACTTGGTCAATAACCAGCCATTTAAACCTCACGCTTGCCTGCAAATAACCAATCTGCTTTAACATGCCCTGTCTTTTTCCACTGTCGCATCAGCCTTACAGTCTGAATGTACTGACTACAAATAATCTTTTGTCACCAAAAAAATACCTTCTGTCTTCACCGAGATTCTGCGAAGGACCGAGAGCGACAGCAATTTGATGCTAAATAAACAGTGAAAAGAGGAGAACTTATGTTACTACATGAAAGAAACGCGGTAATCTTGCCAAATAAGAAAAGACGAGGCTCAAACAACAAGGACGTTTATGTTACCAAATTGTCCATTTTTGTCTCCTCAAATCGCCAACCATCCATCTCTAATTCATCCAAGAAAAATTGCGTATCGCATGTCACGGTCTAAAAAGTAAATCTTGACATCAGCCTAACATTCTAGTCACCACACTATCCTAAAAATACACTTTCTTTAGCGACTCTAGTATTTGATATTGTCTACTAGCAAGCATATTGTTTTAATAAATAAGGAGTAGTACAAACTTAGAAAGATCTACTATTTACAAGCATTCAAGCTTTGACACACGTTTTTAAAGATTCCAAGATATGTACGTTCATGAAAAGCTAGTAAGAATTAGTACTTTTATTTCCAACCGTCTATCACGTCGCTATACAAGGCGGTTCTTCTAATTGTTCAAAAAAGGTAATCCGCCAAATGACTCAGTCCGGATCCCAATGCATGGCCACTGATTTAAGTAATCAAACAGAAATTTCTCGTTGAGCACAATAGGGCCATTTATACGAGGAAAAATAAATAAGACGCGAACTTTCCGTATAAACGGCACATTTCGTCTAAAATAAGACGCGGCTTAGCTAAGACGCGTCTTATCAGATAAGACTTGTTCGTATAAATGGTACAGTTCGCGTCTTATTTAAGACGCGTCTTATGTAAGACGCGTCTTATTTTTCCTCGTATAAATGGCCCTAATGTTTTATTAGTCAGTACCACAGGCAACAAGAAAAAAAGAAATCTGAGATCAGAAGAGGTCGGGTTAGACTCCTGTTACAAAAATACATTGGGACTGGCCTGCAGTTAGCGAGGCTATTCGAGGCAGGCCACGCTACATAATGTACTACAAACTGGATAAATATAAAGAAATTAGACGTTATATAAGTATATATTTTACAATAAATTCCATTCTACTTAAATACAAGGAAAATTTATGAGTGAATTATAAAAATGAAATATAATGAAAATAAAGGACAAGAGAATTACTTTTTCATTTTCACAATAATCGTATCTACATTGATTGTAGGAGTCTTCAGTTTGAGGTATCTCGTTCCCAATTTTGACCCAACACGCGAGAAAGCATTTCGTTTGACGTCTACTCGAGATTCTTTAGTATAAAAATGTTCAGAGGTTGAGGCACGTGTGTTGTAAGTATGAACACTAGAAACGAGAGAAGAGTTTCAAAATATTATCCGGAGCAGTGTTTTTATTTACATCATACGTAAGATTACAAACGGATTCACAATATAGAGACTGTAAGGTTAGAATTTTTGCATTCACCAAAAAAGGTATTGGGCATGCGTGGTCGTTTGTTTCAGCAAATTAAACGCAGTGCGCGTTTTTCAAAGACAAGCATTTGGTCAAGGAAAGTTTTACAGGCGTTGTCCCAAGAGATAAGAGCGTAAGTTAGATAAGGTGCAATTAGTGACTGATAAATATTTAGGAGGGTGCAAGAGGGAAAAATATGTCTTAATCGCGCAATTAGCCCAATATGGGTCTTCCATGATAGATTTTCATCGATTAACGCCCAAGATATTTAACAAAGTTTTTACGTTCAAGGGTAACCTTTTTATTGCTTTCATTGTCAAAAACATTAACCTGGGGATCATAGTTTAGTTTTTTTTGGTATGGACGAAAAATTACATAGTTTGATTTTTTAACATTCAAAGAAAGCTTCTTTGAAGTCAGCCAGTTATACAAGCTATGTAATTCTGCATTTACTGTAAGTTTTCAGTGTCCTTTAAATCTTTTTGAGGATAAAGAGCGTTAGGGTCGTCAGCAAAAAGGAAAAATTGGAGTTTGCTCGAACAATATTGCATGTCATTTATATAAAGCAAAAAGAGAAGTGGACCTAGGACAGATCCTTGGGGTACGCCCCATTTGATATTTCGTTTAGTAGATATGTGAGAGCCAATTTCAGTAGTTTGTGTGCGATTTGATAGATAAGAGGAAAACCATTGATTGACAATTCCACGGAAGCCATGATAATTTAGTTTATCAAGTGATATATTCAGTGTCAAAGGCTTTTTTTAAGTCAATAAAAACTCCACATAAAAAGAGTATTTTGTCCATATTGGTTTGTGTAGTTTCTACCATATCAAGAATAACATGTTAGGTTGAGTGACCTTGACGAAAACGATATTGAGACGAATATAATGGGCTGTGCTTTTCAATTAAGTCTTTCATTCTATCGTACGTAATTTTTTCGAAGATTCTATTGAAATTTGATAATAACGAAATTCGCCTATAATTACAAGTGTCGGTCTCGTCGTCAGCTTTTAAGATAGGTATAATTTTTGACATTTTAGTTTTTTTGCCAGGTAGGCCCCAAGAGAGACAGATGTATTGAGAATGTCTGAAAGAACTGGAGATATGACGTCGCATGAGTATTTAAGAAGTTGAGTAGGACAGGAGTATAATTCATGCGATTTGCTTTTTGGTATAGATAAAATTTGAATTTTAACTTCAGATAGAGTCACAGGTTTGAAGAAAAACGAAATTTTTGGCGAATTTGACTTTCTTAGGTACTCTGTGAAGGGGTGCTCTGCCGGTGGTAATTTGCTTGCTAAGATGTTGCCAACATTTGAAAAATGTTTATTTAAGATATTAGGTATACGTGAGGAATCATTAGTAAGGTTATTGTTGTTATCTTCTGAAACAAAGAATTGCTAAAAACGGATTATGTGCTCTAGTTTATTAACACAACTGCACGTAGCTCCCCTCATCCGGCCATTATTTATTTTCCTCTGTTTTTAATTTACATTTCTTTTGTTTCTTTTTTATTAACCTTTGACATTCTTTCCGGTACTTACATGCGTACGTGCGTGTCCCTGAAACGTGTGTTTTTATGGTCAATCTTATTACCACAACGTGAGGGCGTGCGTGGTCGAGCGGTTAACACCTCGAACTCCGGATCTGGAGGTCCGGGGTTCAAACCTCGTCCTTCGCATTGTTTCCTTAGACAAGGAACTTTACTGCACTTTGTCTCTCTTCACCCAGGTGTATAAATGGGTACTGGCGACATACTGCGAGGGGTAACGTGATGGAATAGCATCCCATCCAGCGGGATTAGCAAAACTTGTAGGCATTCTACATGCTAAGGGAACAAGAATAAGCTCTGGCCGTTTGGGCCTTTGGCTCGTGTGTGCCTTTACCTTTTTACCTTATATTACCACAACAACAAAAACGGCTAATTAACGCAGTGATGATCCACAAGATTAGGATAGTATAGCTGATATCAATTCGCCTACCTGGGGAGATAATTCATTAGTTTTTATGTTGAATTCAACAGACTGTAGATCATGCCCTATACCAGTTCCAGTTGCCTTTACATAACTCTCCTTCAGGCACTGAAAAAGAACCAAAGGCATAACAATATAGTAACACTGATGTTTTGGCAGGGTCAAAAGTTGTCGCATTTCGTATTACCCAGTGTCTGTAGAACATCTCAAGTTGTTTCCATTCAGATTCCTGAGATTTGATTGTTTGCCATTCATGCGCAGTGAACTGTTTACGCATGGTTTGAAAAAACCCAGCAACTGTTGCAGAACCTGTCGGTTGCAACAAAACAAAAGGTTCTGTTTAATTACTGTGAAAGTTGTTTGTTAAACACACCAGGGGCTGTAAATTGCTCCAGCAAAATACAGATGTAACAAAGCTACAGTCTAAATTAAACATTTCTCATTTTTGCAATCCTATCCACTGTCTTGTTTACTGTCCACAGTGTTAAGAAAGCAATTCCAAAGAGAATAAAAGAAACATACTGATTAACATGACTAAAATGACTCACAATAATAGGTACAGGGTTTTTCAAATTTTCCGTTGTTTTGCTTTGTCTGAAACAATACTGATTATTAAATGTGAAAAGTTTCTACATCGTCACAACACTGGCACTTACTTGGGTAAACAGTTTTCATGATATCTACACCCACTAATAAAAAAGACAACAATAACAGTCATCATTAAAGGAGCAACAGTTTTGTACAATACTTGCAAATTAGTCACTTGCAATCTATAGCAAAGATGTACTGGATCTTGAGTCTTATAGGAGGTGTCCACCATTGTATCGGCCGACATATCAGTTGAAGTCAACATGTTGGTCAATATATTGATCAAGTCTTGTTTGAGTGTTGGGCAAGCATCAGGCAAGTATCGGTAAAGTATCAGTCGATTATTGGTTGAATATCAGTCAAGTGTTGTTCCAGTATTGTTTGAGTATCAGGCAAGTGTCGGTTGAGTGTCAGTTAAGTGTCATTTGAGTATCCATCCGGTATTGGTGGAGTATTGGTCAAGTATTAGTCATGTATCAGTTGAGTGTTGGTCGAGTGTCGGTGGAGTATCAGTGGAGTATCAGCTGAGTATTGGTCGAGTATCAGTCGAGTGTCTGTCAAGTGCCGGTTGAGTATCGGTCGAGTGTTGGTTGAGTGCCGGTTGAGTGTTACTTGAGTGTCGATAGAATATCGGTGGAGTATCCATTGAATATATGTCGAGTATCAGTTGAGTATGGGTCAAGGATCAATTGAGTGTCGATCAAGTGTCGGTAGAATGTCAGTTAAGTATCAGCCAAGTATCGGTTGAGTGTCAGTCAAATATTGGTTAAATATCCCTTGAGTATCGGTTGAGTATCAGCCTAGTATTGGTTGAGTATCAGTCGAGTATAGGTCTATTATCAGTCGATAATCAGTTGAGTGTAGGTCAAGTTTTAGATGAGTGTCAGTTGAGTTGTGTAAAGTGTGGGTGTGTAAGTAGCAGTTGAGTGTTGGTTGATTGTCGGTCAAGTATTAGTGAAGTATTGGTCAACATGTGGCCAGAGGTCAGCCCCTATAACCTATTGGTAGATAGTCTGCTGATAGTCAGTTGTTTCTGCCGACAGATCACTGACATGTCAACGACACTTGGTTGACTGTCGATATGTTGACCAAAACCCCCTAGAAGACACAAGATCTGATGAACCTGCAGTCAACCAAGGTGTAAAATAACTTTTATAGTAGCATCAGGGTACAAGGATAAGGGTTTATACAGATTAGCATGACCTAATTTTAAAATCATGGTAATGAAGGTATGAATAAAATGGCTGTTCACACCACCTTGATTCCAGGTGTTCCTTACTAGGTCTTCAAAGAGGACAAAGGAAGGGGGAGGGGCTGGGAGAAGTAGTCACCTTAAACTGTGGTTTTTTCATTAGGGAAGCGGTATTACAGGGGAGCTAACTAGACCGAACCTTTAGGCATGAGCATTTCTAAAGGAGAACATGATTATGTTTTCCTAGGTTTTTTCTCTTCATGCATTTCAATCACTATGCATTCTGTAAGTTTAAATATTTCCCATTTTGTGCAAATCAAAGTTTAAATTCTGCAATGTAGATGTTAATGTAGCTTCACCTTTAGTTTTGGGCTCTGCAGCTAAAACTGTGTAGTCTCCCTGGCAAAAAAGGTCAGAGATGTAACTTGGTGATTTTAGATATCCAAATGTTACAGTTTGAGGTTTCATTTACACATTTTTACAACAGCAAGTTAAAACAAATAGAAATACATAGAAATTCAATATGTTACATTTGTTAAAAAAAAACCAAAAACTAAAGGTTAATAATATTATTTTTAAGTATATACTAAAACGGTGGATTGTGTTTTTCACGTGCTGCGATTGGCTACTCAATCAGTGAATATCCTGCACTATTCACTGATTCACCTCCAGTTCCTCTGAGCGAGCGACACCAAACTCACTAAGTTGCATGCAAAATGCCTTCCCAGTTTGCTGCCGTAACAAACAAAGAAATTTCACAAATAATCAAGCAAGCTCTTCCTGAAATACACAAAGGTGACGAAGTTCAGTTTGGAAGTTTTAACAGGTAATTGTCCTTTTGACTTGAATTTATTGATGAAACCGGTGAAAAAGTTTTTTGTTTACAAATGCAAATTAAGCTTAAGTCTTGCATTACTTTATTTAGTTGACTTGTTCATAAATAAGCTTAAAGCTAAATATAATGATCTTTTTTACAGAATGATTTTAAATACAAAAAGAATTCACAACTCCTTTTGAAGAAATTTCCCCGCAAGAGCTAAACAAATGCCTTCAAAAATTTTATTTGTTAGCAAGAAACATTGACCAAAATTGTGCACGAAAATTGTAATAGTTGGCAACAGCAAATGAGTTAAAAATCATCCTTTAAATATTGTGTTCAATTATCTCACTGTTTTAGTACATACTAAAACAATTATTCACCTCAGTGTCAGTGGCTAGTGGTGGTTATTTACCTTGCTGCTTCGCGTCTCTGAAAATAGCCACCACTACCTACCTCCACTTTGGTGAATTTATTGTTATTTGTTAATTTTATTATATGGAGAAAGGAGTACCTGATGTGATATGTTAAAGTTAAAATTTTTCACAGATGGTTCACTGATGTTAGCCTGTGAGAAAAAAAGCAAATGGATGACGAAGTTCCTCCAAGATGATACTCATTAAGAAAATTGAAACACCCCTTTAAGACAGAAACTCACCTTGTATACATTGTTTAATTTTTTTCAACCCCTCACAGGTAAAGACACAAGATTTCTGAACTGACTCTTAAAGAGTCAATTTTAGTTTTAATGATATGATTGACTTGTCAATCAGAAATATTGGTGTGCTCAAAACATCCCCCCAGCCCCTAACCCAGGGTTTAAGCCAAAGCCTTATTGAGCCAGCCCAAAAGCCTTTAAAAGTATGTATAAGTCAAGGAGCCATAATTTATTTTTCACAGCATACCCCTTTTTTCCAAACCCTGATCCCTGTTGATTAGTTAAGGTAGAGAATATGGAACATGACAAGGATCGAACACGACAACATCAGTTTAATGGTGAGCTGCCATTACAAGAGCGCATGGGCCATAGAGAGTATGATCACATGAATGCTAGGCATGTAATTGGTGTACATTACGATGTTTAATAACTCAACAATCCCAGTTTTGGACAAACTCCTTACCAAATAAGGTTTTCCTTTTTCTGTCCGTTTTAGTAAAACTTCATTATAGGGAATCCTTAGATGTTCACTTAAGACTTTCCGTATCAACAGCCTTCCAATCTAAAAGATAAAGTGACAAGTTAGACAGTAGAGACTGACAAGAAAGGCGGTATGGCTTGGAGGAGGTATAAGTTATATGCATTTGTACTTGCCAGAGCAGATTTAGCATCTTTCTTGAATACAAATCTCATGATCCTCTGTTTTTCTTCTGACTGAACACAGGATATTCCAAGAAGCCATTCCTTGAACAAAACAGATATTTTTACTGTATTCAGTAAGCCAATCAATAAATCAATCATCCTGGAAAACAACAAACAAACTACCCAATCAATCAACTGACCAACTTATCATATAATCTCCTGACCAATCAATCAAACAGTTAATCAATCATTCAATCAAACCATTAATTTGTACCCTTAACCATCACCGATACAACGAATTTGGCTATAACAGGCCAATCATTGCACATGCTCAAATCCTGGTACATAGGTGGGGGCCTAGGACAAGGATCTTGGTGCTGTTTCTCAGACAGACTTAACCAGAGTTTAGTTTTGTCTGTGGTGCAGGCTAATAGCAATATTATTACTAGGCTGTTGCTATGGATTCATGAGTGAGCTCGTGACATCGGCAGACATTCTTCAGCTCTTTCAATACGAGAAGAACACAAGCCAACAGCTTCTTTGGGAATGAGCAGATGTAATTTACGTGGAAAATATCAAACTTTCTCACTTTGTTAGAAGCTGGGGAATGAGATAATGTTGTTGATGACACCACCTTTATCTCAATATTTTTGGTGTCATTCAATTATTTACATTTGTACAGTTTGTGGTCTGCGGTCTGCAAAATGTCATACACTACTCAGAACTCAGGAAACTCTTCATTACGGAACGGCGCCTGTAGATACGTGTCGCCCGCAAAATCGCGGGTCCCATGACTATTTGCGCGCTCACAAAGGGAGCCGACTCATGTCGCGTCCTTTGATTCAAGACTCAAGTGTTAGGGTATTGTTTCCACGATACAAAGGTAATTTAACTTAAGAAAATCTATACATCGAAGCTTTCGCGCTACTCTCTGTTTTATAAGGAAATGCAAAGGCTCAACTTGATAAATATTTTGACTTCATAACATATTTTAACGATTTAGGCCAGCAGAATGTATAGAATTCCAGGAAAACAATTCAGGAAGCCGAACGGTTTTGAACTGCGCTGAAGTTATTTTTATCAGTATGCAAATCACCTACCCAATCACTTACTTTCCATCGAATTGAAATATCCTGACTTTTTTTTACCACTTTTCGATTTGATTCGTTTCATTTTATATTATTTTGTGCAAGCTGAGCTCTTTCATGCGAAGGAAACGTTGTGTTTACAATCACGGCAATTTGTATCTATTTCGCTTCACTTACGCTTATATGCAAATTATTGTTCATCCGCCGGATTTCGCTGGAGACAAAAATATAGATTTTGAATTCCCAAATGCTTGCCTTTTGGGGCACCCCTTTTATTTTGGCTATCAAGATTTTAAAAGCTAAGCTTGAGACTTTTCATTCCAACGTTTTAATGCGAGAAAGCTAGGAGAAATGCTCCAACTGATTTAAGTCACGCAACACGCTTTAAGACCGCATAACTTGATCTTTCTGTTATCTTTTGTTCTTCTATTGTCTCCAAAACAATAACGATGTTTTACCAATTTCCACCTACAAATAATAGGACACATTTGATTGACAGAAAAATTTGCATTTACTAGCGACGCGTATCTACAGGCGCGATTCCGTAATGTCATTATGTTGCCCAAACTCCTTCCTCTCCTAGAGAATGTGAGTGCTGTTGGAAAATTACAGTTTTGTTCTGTATATTAAAGTAACATAGAATCATGCATACGGAAATTAAGGTAATAGGAATCATGCAATGATAGCCAATAATATCAATTTCAAAACATTTGCTAAATTCGTAAAATTAAACAAGACCCCCATAGTGGGAGTTCATTGGGAAGCCGTGGAGTGGGATAGAGATAGCCTTTTAAAGCGACAAGCAATCGAATGCAATATGGGACAGAAAACTGAAACTTAATTTGCTTTGCGAGATTTAAAGAACAGAAATTACTGTTAAAAAACCACCAAAACTGACCCTGTCAAATTCTGTAAGCATAGAATGATAATAATTTTTGGAATTTCCGGTTAGATCAGATTAGTCACGCTAATACTGTCATATGCCTTTATAATTGGTGGAAGAGGAATGGGGTAAGGGGTAGCCTGTGTACAGACCCCTCCCCCTCCCCCCAGGAAAAATCTAAGGGGAGGGGGAGGGTCTGTACACAGACTAGGGAAGGGGGTGAGTTGTGGAAATGTCCCAGTTAAAAATAATTCCAAAGCCCTTCAAACTATCCACGTGAATACAAATACAAATAGTATATTCCTTCTTCTGTTTACTTTCGATCCACACGGAGGGAGAGAATTGCAACAGGTTAAAGCTTTTCCCTTAGGGATCGTGGGATGGCATTGTTTCTCCTGCTCCCGCACAAGCTGAATACTGTATTTAGATAATCATTCAGCATAGGAATAGGCTTAATAACTCCACACAATGATTTTGTGCTCGTTCCAAATCAATCAATTCGGTTCCCCAGATGACCTGAAATGACCTGTCCCCGGGGTACTGCCATATATGGGCTATATAGGTATGTGCCACTGTGAAGGGTATGGTTTTCAAGCAGTTAACTCTAGGATGAAACCAGAACATTTGGGTCTAGAATAGGGTATCATTTTTAAGGAAACTGATCAGTTGGTTGAAGATTTTATCTAGACTAGCGAAACAGCTACTCTAGGATAGGGGGGATTTGGGGAGTTTACTCTAGTATAGGGTAGCAAAATTTAGCTGAACTAGCTCTGGTATAGGTTAAGGTTACCAGGGTCCCAGCAGCACTTCCCCACCCAGAAATTCCTACAGTACCCCCCCCCCCCCGGGCCTGTCCCCTCTTTGCAGAAATTGGCCCCATTGATAAGGAATGGGACACGCAAAGCCTTCTGCGACGGAACTCCCAGCTGGAGAGTTCCGTCCGCCATTTTGTCTTTTTGCTGCACAGGTGAGGCGGCCTCCATTTTATGATTGGGCGTTGCCCTCACGGGACGCCCAATAAAACGGGGGACGCTTATTGGACGCCTTTTAAACTTATTGCACTGACCTGCTTTGTTGGTTTCCAAGAACCAAATTTGAAAGCTAAACGAACGCCTTCCATGCGCATTAGACACATTCAAAGCCTCTCAAGTACCAGGAGATCTATATCAACATTGACGGCCATAAAATACTGATTTTATAGGCACTGCAGGGACGATGCATATTACAGAAAACTTTAACTTTGTTACGCGGTATCTCACGACTACTACTTGGTGTAAGAATGTTTGATTGGGGACTCAGCACCACAACTTCATGAAGTACTTACATCGGACGTAAAAAACCGCTGCTTGAAAAAGCGCAGGCGAAAAAACATGGCGGCTCTTTAAAATGGTAAGCACTGTACAATGGATCGTTTCAGCTGGACTTCATCTTCAAATCTGTGTATTTTGCAGGGTGAATCTGGCATTCACCAACAGTCTGGCGTTCGAATATACGATGGAGACAAAAAGGTCAGGACTTATTGCCTTAAAAATGTAAACAATTCATATTTTACCTCTACATGTAGGGTCCGCGATAGAACTAATTACACCGTAAGTGTACTCACCTCGCCTTACAGCAGCATTCGCCACGAAACAGAGACACCTGTTATGTAGCTTTCAAGAGCATTATGTATAATATTCAAAGTTAAAACATATGGATGACTATGGAATAATGTGTTCAAAACTGGTTTGTCGCATTGGTGTCTTTTACCTATATACTAGTACATACTTGGATGCAAGTTAAGATTTAAGCAATAGAAAACGTTTTCCATGTTAACATAGCCTGATATAAACATGAGACGGGCTGGGAGAATTCGAGACGTCTCGAGTTTGCATAAATGTCGAGAATTCTCCCAACCCCTCGCGAGTTTATATCAGGCTATGCAAATACAGGAAAGAAGTTTTCTTTTGATTTTTTAAATTAAATTTCCCAAGAAAAAATGCAAAACTCTTTGTCATGGCACTTATTAAAAGAGAGATTCTTACTGGTCACAAAGTCTTGTATACAAAGTCTTGCATGCGTAATCACTTTATATTTTGCAATAAAGATGTTTTCCAAAATACTGATTTTTGTCCCTTAAAATGTCAGCTTAAGCAAAAAAATTGACACAGCTTGTTTGTAAAGAGTTTCAGCTGATGATGGAATGGGTGAATAAAGCAAAGTTGTTGAGTTTTCCACTCAAAAACTTTTTAAAATTCGTACTTGCATGATTAGCATGTGAAAAGCAAAACATCTTGACTCCACAACCATGTTTACATACTCTCATGTAAACAGGCCTCTCGACCAATCAGAGCATGTGTACTATCCTAGTTAATACATTGTCACATGTCTTGCCGACAAACAACGCCATGCTTGGCCCAGGCCACCACATTGCTCGTACCAGTCTCCGACCGGGAGGAAACATAAATGGGCTTAGTGCCGTTTTTAGGTCTTCGTTTCATTTTAGACAGAACGTTGTAGGAAAGTAAAACCTAAAATATTGCGGGAGTTTACGGAAGCACCGCTTGAATTGAATCGCCATCTCCTTACCTTAAAGTATAAAGAAACGTTGTTAAGAACTATTCACTCATGTACTTTTTCTATTAGTGATAGTTATATCCATTTATTAACCGCCCACTTTCCCTACATCAACAACTGATGAAGGATTCAAAGTTTGGATTAACCTTTTGGCTGAATCTTCATTCCCCGCACGTAAATACTCACGTATTTCCTTCAACTGATTTGTATCTGCCTCCATTTTCGCGGCAAATGAAAAGCACATGGTGTTGAAGTGCGCCTGCGATCCCAGTTTCGGAAGAAGCCACTGAAACAATATGGCGCGTCGTGAACGCAGTATCGACGTTTCGAAATACATTCAATTTTTTCGATTATCTTGTAGTATTCAGACATTATTTTACTGGGGACAGAAAGGTGAGTTGGGATACTAGCTACCGTATCCGATTGATTTCCTAATATAAAGATTTAAAAACAAAAGTTGTGTCGTGGTTTTCTTTAGCCATCGGACAAAACGCGAGTCGCCAGCTGGCGACCAGTTCTGAAAATTTAGTCGCCAGTCCTCAATTTTTGGTCGCATTGGCGACCAGTGAGTCGCAATGTCGAGCCCTGTGCGTACTATCCTAGTTAATACATTGTCACATGTCGAGTAGCTAATGGCTGCCACGCGTTTTTTCACTCCAGTTTTTATTTGAAACTTTGTGTGTACTAATGATGGCCAAGTGGTTAGATTCTAACGAAGAGAAGTAAGTCGCAAAGAATGTCTGGTTATTTTAATGGCAAGATCTCTGGCAACAAAGGATTATTTTCATCGTGTTGGAGCCGTCTGGTATTGCTTCGTATGGGTGAGGAAGAATAAAACAATCAACAATAATTATCAATGCGGCTGTTCCGTGTTTTTCCACTTGTCGCTATTACTGGGAGGAGATATTGAAGTGAACCCTGGTGAAGGGAAATTTCCTTGTGGTATATGCTCAGAGCCTGTCAAGTCAAACCAATTGGGGATTCAGTGAGACAAGAGCAAGCAATTGGTTCTATGTGAGGCCTGGTTGTTGCAATTTATTGCATTGAGATGCAGTAACGAGATCCCAGCAAACTCATCCTGCTCCTGTATTTGCTCTCTCTGCAAATTGCCAAACGTTTCAGTCCTATTCTTTGAAAATTCACTGGATTCACAATGTGATAGTCGTGGGCAATTTTAATGCCCTGAATATTTCATGGGATAATCTCAAGGTCTCAGCCAACCTTTCTTTTCCTTCAAAGAAATCAACTGAACTGACTCATGAATATAACCTAGCGCAGTTCATAAAAGAACCAACCAGGCAACAAGGCAACCTGAGTAACACCGTGGATCTTGTTTTATTTAATCACCCTGACATTATTTGCAATTTCAATTGTATAATCAGGAATCAGCAATCATGATATATAGTGTTGTTTACACTGAAGCCATCGTGCCAGAAAAAATGGTATGACAAGCGCAAAGTTTACATCAGAAAGTGATGAGCATATTAAATTGGAATTAAAAGCACAATACTGCAAAGCTCAACACTCAGTATGATAACAAAATTGGAAGCAAAGTGGAATGCTTTTGGGAACATTATTGGCAGCATAATGGGCTCTTGCATCCCGCATAAAATGACAAGCTCAAGATACAACTTACCTTAGATTGTCACCAAAGAGAGCGATTAAAGCAGGGTGAAACAAAGAATATATAACAAAGCACAGAAAACAGAATCTGCACATCACTGGAACATGTTTTGTGCCACCTGGAAACGCATGCACAATAATCTTATGTCTGCAAAGGAGTATATCAGTGGCCACCATAGCGAGGCAATTAAGAATGTTTTTGGTCCTACGTAAAACGCCTTAAGCAAGAAAATCCAGGGACAGCAGGCTTTGTAGTTAAAGTTATAAGTGACGGTAGTCTTCTTAAACAGCCAATTTTCAAGTGTGTTATTTACTAAAGAGCACCTTGAAAACATTCCTGAAATGGGCTCTGATCGTTAGCCTGGCTTGGGTCATTAATTATTTCAGAACATGGCATCTTGAAACAGCTGTCTTCATTAAAACCCTAACAAGGCCTGTGGCCCAGACCTAATTCCACCCTGGTTTCTCAACATTTATGCTGCAGAAATAATAATTATTTCTGCAGCATAATCGTTGGACCAATTATTGCTCCAATACTAACAGACATCTTTCAAGACTCGATTGACAGTGGCAGTGTCCCCCGCAGGTGGTAAGAAGCTAATGTGTGTGCAGTTTTAAAAAAGGAAAAGAAATCTGACCCAGCCGACTATAAACCTATATACCAGTATCTCACTTGTGTTGCATCGAAGATTCTCCAGCATATTGCTCACAGCTTTATTGTGAAACATCTAAACAACTATAATATCTTAACAGACTGTCAGCATGGTTTTCCACGTGGTCATTTTGGACTTTGCCAAAGGTCCCTCATAAGCGACTCCTAATGAAGCTGCAGTGCTACGGAATCCAAGGTCTGCTCCTGAATTGAGGGTAGAGTCTTTTCTTACACAATGTTTTCAATCAGTTGTTTGTGAAGGCCAAACGCCACGTCAATGTCCAGTGACTTCTGGCATACCCTGGGGTACAGTCCTTGGCCCATTGCTCTTCTTATTATATAACAACAACCTACCAGACAACGTGCAATCATCAGTCATGTTTTTTGCGGACAATGCCCTACTTTATGGCATTGTCGCAAGTGATACGGTTTGTGACCTTCTCTAATCTGACCTACACTGTATGCAGGCTTGAATCTTGGCAGTATCATTGGTAAATTTAATCCTTCCAAATGCAAAATTGTCACCATCTTGCATAAAAACAATCCACCCCAGAGAAAATATGTCTTCTGAAGTGTGGAGTTGGAACAAGTTGGTAGTTTCCCATACCTTGGGGTTACAATTTGAACCATCAGTAACAAGCTCAAGTGGTCAGCCCACAAATCATTCAAGGGTATAATACAATGCAACCGTTGGAATTACCCCCAGAATGTGAGAGAAATAGCATATACATCCTTGGTACAGCCAAAACTAGAATACGCAAGTTCGGCTAGGAACCAGTTTTCAAAAAAAGATATCAGTGCACTGAAAAGGATTCAACACAAAGCAGCACGATAGTCGATTCTGCTAACAGAATTACTATAGGTATGCAAGTTTTACAGACATGATTGAAGACTTGAAGTGGGATACGCTGGAAATGAGAAGAAGACGGTTTAGGTTAACACTTATGTATAAACTAACTCATGGTCCTATTGATATAGATAGCCAAAAATATTTCATTCAACACTCCGAGAGTCACATGAGGGGAAGCCATCAATTTAAATTTAACGTGCCCTATGCAAATAAGGATATTTTTAAATTTTCGTATTTTCTGAGAACTGTGGTTGACTGGAACTGCCTCCCCGAGGCCATTGTATCATCAAGTTCATTACTCAGAGTCTTTTAAATCTAATTTATCAGATTTTCTTTTTAATAAGTAAGAGGTATATAGTTCTCTTTATTTAATTTTACATTATTATTTTGTATTATTTTATTTTTGGTGTGATGTCTTCGTAATTTTTACTGACCTAATGGATGTAGATGTAGATTTAGATGTAGATATTATTCTATAAAATAACATAATAAATTATATATATTTGTTAATGATGGATATTACCAGTATAGTTTGCTAGTGAGGTATCAAGTTAGTATCTGTGTAAGTTAGCCTCACACTTGGGTCTAATTTATTGTACAGTTAGCTATCTTCAGAACTTAGGGGTGGTGTCTTATGTTGTTTTTTGAAGGCCGGGTAAAATTGTATAGAAATGATCTGAAGGAAACAAAAATTACTTTGAGTTAGCGTGATTGAGGTTCAAGTTACCAACACGGCTTTAACCAAGGCAAGTCGTCTCTCTCTAATCTTTTGGAAACAGTGCATGAGTTCAATGCCATTTTAGAGAATGGGGAAGTAGTAGACCTAGTCTACTAGGACTTTCAGAAAGTGTTCAACAAAGTTCTACCTGAGCAACTCCTGTTGAAGTTAAAAGCACCTGGGATAACCAGCCAATGCAACAATGTTATTCAGAATTTTATTACTGGAGGTAGAACAATGGCAGTCCGTGTAGGAGATGAATTATCCACATGGGAACCTGTACTATCTGGAGTGCCTCAGGGTTCTGTTTTAGTGCCCCTGCTGTTTCTTTTATTTATTAACAATATGCCTGCTATCACAACGAATATAACCACGCTATTTACTGACATCTCAAAGCTAATAGGGAATGCACAATCAACTGCAACCATTTAGTTGGACTTACATGGGCTAACATGTGGCAAATGAAATTTAATGAATCTAAGTGCAGCATTTTGCATTTTGGTAAAGACAACCCTAAGAATGACTACATGATGGGTAAGTAGTTGAAAAGGAAAGAGATCTGGGAGTGGTTTTTTCAGCTGGTGATACCCTTTGTTGGGAGGAACGAATACGAGGAATGACTGGAAAGGCAAAACAAATGACACCTTGGATCATTAGGAATATACCATTTTACAAAGCTTTTGTCAGACCCCATATGGGATACACAGTGCAGGTGTGGGCCCCAACCGCGCACAAGACACGGAAACTGGGGTATTATAATGGCAATTGAAAACTGCCGAAGACAGTTTTAAACCAGGATAATTGAGGGCATGGGCCTACTCCCTTATCATCAAGGGTTACAGCATCTCAGATTAATGACTTTACTGGAACAACGAATGCGTGGTGACTTAATCAAGACTTAACATCTTATCCTCCTTCAGGTCCTCGAAGCTGATTTAAACTTGCTTTTGCTACGGAGAGGGAATTTGTTGATGTTTTATGCTCTATGGCCTCTGGTGTTAACAGTCCCCCATTGGATGTTGGATTTTCCTGCAAATGGTGTGAATCCGAGGAATCTGAAAATTTTTTAGCATGTCAGGTTCAAACTTGTCGCCATTAATTTTGCAAACATTTTTGAAAAACTTTGTCAAAGTGGTCAAGGTCACCAGCAGGTAAATCCAAAACTTTTTCATTTCCCTTGTTTACTGAAGATAAATAATGCTGAAATGTTTTCATGTCACTGAAAGTTTTCCTGGTCGTGTTTTCACTTTTTTGCTTGTTTACAGAACTCTCAATTTCCTCTCGGCCGTTTTCATAAACTTGTTCATAACCAGATAACGCTGTGTCTTCACTGTTTTCCTTATGAGATTCATGAAGCTCATCAGGGTAATGGAACTCGCTATCCGAGTGTTCATCCTCACTCATTGTATTTGTCAAAAATTAACTTAAGAAATGAAACAAGTGCAGCCTTTTGATGAACTTTGGTTTGTTTTGCTAATTTGCATAATCCGTAATGGCCCATGAGCATTACGGGAAACTAATGCCCTAGCAGCTAGCCAATCAGAGCGCACTTTTTATCAGCTACAAGCACTAGCCATATAAAAATACAGCTTTAAACATCGAACTCGTAATCTTAAGGTCACTTCTCATCATCCATTAAGATCAGCACATGACGTCTTTAACAACAGAGTTATTAAATACTGGAACCAGCTGCCACTACGCGTGCGAAATCAACAAGTATCAACGCCATTAAGGCTGGTCTTGACCTCTTTAAGTTATCTAAACCTGATTCGCCTAATGCATTGCGGAAATTATTGGAAGAAATCTTTAATAGAATAAGGGATAAAAGTGCAGAACACGTCAATATTATTATTTACTAGCCAATTACGATGTTGCCATGTGGCAAAATATCTTGTTTTAATAATTAATTTTGTCATTCTCTGCTTTTAGTATCTTTCTGATTTTAATACTCTTTATAATAATACATTTTTTATTTTTATCATTTATTCATAATAATTTGTAAATAGATTTTGTAAATAGAGATATCCTGAAGTGATATAATAAAGTTATCCTATCTTATCTTACATGCCTTGGAATGAAAAAATAAAATAATCGAAATTAACTGACTCAAAAGAAAAATAAGAGACTGCTTGCAGGGAAGAGGCAATCATGACTTTGTTTCCTAATAACCTTAATGATTCATTATCATATAAATACTCAAATTGATTTTTAACTTTACTCTTCAGACAACATTTGAAAATGGAAATTTAAAGCTCACTACACACAGAATAGTTTGGGATGATTTAGATCAGCAGGTAAGTATTAAATTAATCTAAGATTTATGTCAACATTTTACCTGTTAACACTGTAACAATGTAAGGATAGTTTTGACAAATAGTGCTGACACTTCCACAGTTTCTGTTTTAACTTTTTTTATCTTTTTAGTAAAAAAAAATACTGTTAACATAATTTCACCTCACAGCTGTCGTTACTTTTCAAAACTAGAATTAAGAAAGAAGAAGGCTAGGATCATGCTATTATTGTTCAATATGTTATTTTTTGTTTGTTTATAGGATAGAGCCATATCAGTCCCACTGCCTCTTGTGAGTAATGTAGAAGAACAATCTGGCGGTTTTATGAGCAGGTTTGTTTAAGAGAATGTGTATTTCAAGAAGTAACCAATAACAATTATTAGAAATAGACTGTGAAAGGTCAGTTGGTGTAATAAAACCTCCTTTTCTACTCTTCTAGAGTCACACTCTTGTTAACATGAAAACTTTTCGATTTTTGAGACCATTATTATGATCATGCGTATGCCTTTTGCTGACCCTACCTAAAATGTCTGTGTTTTGGATTCTAGTCAAAGGGATGGCCCTTCATGAAATTATGTTAAACAATTATTCCTCAAGCCAAGATGGGCTCTGAGTTTGTAAAATCCAACTAGTAAAATATCGAGACAAAACAACTTTAGCTAGCAAAATGCGATTTAGCTGCTACAATGTTTTGGTTTTCAAAGCCGGCGCTTTTCATTACTAGTGGGCTATAACAAATAGCCTAGTAGTAGCTGAACCAATCAGAATGCAGCATTGATAATAGACCACTAGTTGGATTTTACTAAAAGTCAAATGCTATTATGCAACACCTTTAATAGCTAGTAGTTTTCAAGGTGAATGGGGGCAGCTGTACACAGGCTAGGAGATCGCAAATTAAAGTAATCCTATTTCTTGTTTAAAAGTTATTTTGGCCAGGATATAAAATTAATAACTCTTCAGAGAGGCCCTGCCCGATGGGGGGGTCACATGTCGCTCATCTGAATTTTAAAATGTCTCGTTTCGGTGATTATAAATGGAAATTGAACAAAAATTCTTTGTCTTTGTTGGAATTTTAGAAAAGGGGATGGAGATGCATTACAGTTCTGCAATTTCTCAATTAACATGTTGCATCTATACATCGCCATTCACAATTGAGTGATCCACATTCAACATTTTGAGACTAAAGGTGGATTTCCAGAGTCATGTAACTGGCCACATGCATGACAACTGTTGTCATGCAAGTGGCTTGATTTTGTAAATGATATGAAGTTCAGGAAGTGTTCAGGATGAGTATACTTGTCTGATGATCATGTTCACTGATGTGGGAGTTTAAGTATCAGAAATTAAAATTGTTTATTAATGGAGTGTGTAGTGACTACATGTAAAGGAAGTTCAAGGATTGAGTACCACATCAAGTGACTCACTTGTTTACTTGAATAAGTGTTGCAGTGCTTGTTCAAATTTTCAAGCCTCAAGTGTGGCACTTGTGGGAGAGGGACACCACAATAATATTATAGTATTAATGACTATTGTATTAACTACAGTATTATATTATTGTTTTCCATAATAAACTAAGAGAATTTAAGTCTTTTGATTTGGATTACATTAGGGCCATGATGCTTATTCGGGGGGGGAGGGGGGGGGTTGTGCACTTATTCAAGGGAGGCCCTTAATTGGGGGCGGTACTTAATCAAATAAGTATGGTAATTGACACTCTTTTATAGTCAGGCTCTCAACAAGAGAGAGCTGATTTCTTTTTAAAAAACCTGCTGTTCAGGAGAGTAATAAGTAGCTATTAATACAAGTTATTTAGGTACAACTATCGCAGGACTTGATTTTTTGTATAAGTATTTCTCCTTGCTTTAATGTTGCTGGTATTTTGTTATAGTGCAAAGGTGATTGTCAGCTTTCACCCACCACCAAAAGACAAAGACCCTGGACCATGTGTCTCAAGCCCATACACCTGTGTCAAGTTCTCTTTTAAACAAGGTGGTCATTCTCAGGTATGAAAGTTCGAAGTGTAAAAATAATTATTGAATGGTCCTGTATGAATGAAGTTTCTGGTCAAATTTTCTGCTGCCTGAAAATTCATGTGGTGCCTTGTGAACTTAGCCTACATGTAAATCATATTGACTTAGTATGCTTTTCTCCCACTACATGTACATACATGTATAACATATATAAATCATGTTCATGTCAACTACAAGTTTTAACACTTATGATTAAGTCAAACCTGAGCTGTTTTTCAGGGAACCTTTTTTAAAAATGTTGGGTAAGTAGTTTAAACTACTTACATTAAGTTGTTAATACCATGGTGGGGGCAATTATTGATTGTCATATACCAGTAATGTCGTTTTAAATAAAAATTATTATAGTTATACTACTACATGAGAAATTTCTGGAATTTGATTGGCCTAGAGCTGTGGTATTTCAGCTTAATTTAAAATACCTACTTGTGAGAATTAAAACCTTTTGCCGGTAGTAGTATAAACAAATAATAGCATGATTTGTATGTGATATTTGGCATAAATACCACTTGTGATATTTCAAAATTGTCTCAAATTTCACAAGCCGTTAGGCAAGCAAAATTTCGTATAACAATTTCGAAATGTCACTTGTGGTATTAATGCCAAATATCACTACAAATCATACTATTACGTATACAAAGTCATGATTGCTAGATGAAACAAATAAATAATGCTCTTCCATGCCAAAATCTACCTCTTTACATTCAGTGCTGTTTGTTTTTTATCTTCCTCTTCGTAGAGATTAATACTGATTTATGAAATAGAATTATTTCATAATTCTAACCAGCCTTGTTTTGCTGTTGACAGTTTTTTGCAAAGTTGCAAGAGCAGTTTAAAAAGAAATCATGGTTGCAGCAAACCACACATTCTTCCTCCACAGGAGCTACAGGAAAAATGCTGGCAAGTATATATATATACTATTAAATTGAATGCATTTAATAACTCCTTTTATTCTGTTTCCCTCATTCAATGTTTTATTTATTGTTTTCTTCTTTTTCTTAGAATCGGCCAAGGGGAGTTGGTGGAATAGTTGGAATTGAGAGGAAACTGGAGCAGAAGTCTAAAGAGACTGATGACTATATTCAAAAGGTATAGTACACAGTATTAGGAACTCAAAAAATGACTTTTTTAATGGCCTTTTCTAACAGTTCTTCATTTTTTTCATTTCAGGCATTTAAAGATTTAGATGCTCTTATGGAAAAGGTATTTGATTCCAAGCAGGGTATTTTAAGGTGATTCCCTAGTAAAAGAACCTAACATAGATTGTAGATGAAACTTGGTACACTGATGTAACAAGTCAAGAAGATGATAAAAAGGTAATAAAAAGTGGGGGTCACCGTGCTCATTTTGACGTCACAATGCTGACAAATACGGCTATTTTGGACCCTTTGACAAAAACCGCGCACAGCCCAAAACTAGACAAAAAGGAAAGATTTTTTCAATGATGCATGTGGTATCGCACAGAATTTGACTTTAATGTATTCTTTATCCACTTAAGTACTAGAAAAATGCCTTTTAATGCCCTTGTTTTTACTTTACGCTCCAAAGTAGAATTAAATTGGACACGCCCTATTCGACACGTGATAACTCAATCCGTACAATTTAGTAAAATTGCCAAAAAACTGAACATAGATTTGCGCCAATTTTTTTCTCACCGAAAGGAAGCACTGTCCTTATTAAAATCATGAAATAAAAAATGGGGGTCACCGTACTCATTTTTGCGGTGGAGCTGCAGAAAGTGCGCACCAAATGCATTTTCCTTGATTTTTGAGAGAGGACTGGGGCGAGTTTCAAAATAAAATGTATGCGAAAGGGAGAAGAAAGTATTAAAAAATCCGTTTTTACAGAATTTACATCGAGATATCACATTTAGGACACAAAGTGATAAAGAAAGCGTTTAAATGAAAATCAAAGTGAATAAGCACAAATTAAACATCCACTATCGAGGTTCTCCGGGAAGAAGTCGAACTCAGCAACACGCGTACTGCTCACGTGATGCACATTCCCACCACATTGAGTCTCACCTCGGCAAGAAACAACCGCAAGCAAAAATTGCAATAGCGTTTCTCTTCGGTCGACTTCATTTTAATAATGTTACTTCACATGCTCTTTTTTACGGAGGCCATCTTGTTATGCGCAGTAAGAGATGCGCAGTGCAAAACCAGGGAATCACCTTAAAGCAACATTTCACAACATTTTAGATTCACTGCCCCAAATTAATGCAATAGTGTGTACAGAGTCTTTAGAAAACATACATGCATGCAGGCTATATGAATCTCATAAATTTAAATTAATCTTTGTACTTTATTTCCTCATCCTCACAATATGCATTAAACCACCAGCCATGCAAAGCCAAGGGTAACCTAGGTAATGGGTTACGTATGCAAGCAAAGGGAATTACATCGTGATAGAACTATGAAGGATATGGCATAGTGGTAGGAAATTCAAAGTCGTTTTGGGGGGAGAAGGTGGTTGACCTTGGTCATTGTGCTTAAAAAACCATCCATACTGGATGCAGGAACATTCCCTTTAGGAAAAAGGGAAGTCAGTTGGAGCAGGTGTTGGTTGGATGGCTTCTTAGAGTGGCAATTACTTCAGGTATCTTTCGTGGGATCACACAAGGTGGGTGTTGAGTGGCAGAAGAAACAGCAGGTTCCTCTTGAATACTCTTGTGAGCATCGGGACCAGTGGCGACATGTCAGTTTATGTCTGTGGTCTAGAACATGATAAAACTAAGAAAGCTTACTTCAATAGGACTTAAAATGTACCTGCGAAATGGTAAACTTCCGTACACTAATTGCACCACGAGATATCAACAGAAACAACAAGACATTGATCTTGGGCATTATCCATGAGTTGGTGCACTGATTATGCAACCACATTTCCCAAGCAGATAAGCCTTTGTTACAGATGTTGGTATTGAGGTTAGTGATGGTGAGATTGGGCTTCCTTCTGGACAAAATATTAATTATGTTAAAAGATCTCATCACCAAGTTCGGCAGTTTGCTTCAGCAACAAGGTTTTTGTTTGGGTTTTGATACAACTGACATCTACAACAATAGCATACTGATGAAGGGTTCCATTGATGGACAATGAAGTAAAGTTTGTAGGGGCATAATAATGGCAGGGGGACCTGCCAGAGGACACAGCTCAAGGCAGAGTGGGAGGAAAATATACAAAATAATAGACTCACAGCACTCTTCATCCTTTAGACAGGTGGTAGTGTAGGACATGAAGTCTTGCAAATGAATCAGTGGATGATCTCTTGATTGGACCAATAGTAGGGAATTTTAATTTTGGACTATTCAGAATGTACGTCATGAGCCATACAGCCAGATCCTCTGTGTCTGATACAAGTGAAGGTACTTAACGGTCATCAAGGGCTGGAGCACTGCAATAAGTCAAATGCCAAGATAGTAGGGCCAGCTTGGTGGAGCAACAAGACCTGTTAACGACGTAACATTGAACATAATGAATTCTCACAATGGCTTGAAGAGAATTGACTACAGTAAACTCTTTCAAAGGCCTAGATAAACAACTTACTGTCAGCCACAACATAAGGTTAAGGGTGTATAAAAGGCCTAGGGAATTTCCCTGGGGACCGTAAAGGACCAATAGACTGCTTCCCGAGGGAGCACGCAGTAATCTAGTTGATTAAATCGTCACGCGGCGGCTTTTGTACGAATGAGAATAGTTTCTCTATTTCACATGGCAACTAGGAGGGGTGGTGGAAAGTGTAACTTTTGCTAGCAGAGAATAAAAAGAGTGGCAACAAGGCCACTCTTCTTGGGGCACGGACCCATCATTCACGGGTTTGGGGAAGGTGATGAATGCTAAGAGGTTATCAGACCATGTGACTGTATCCTGAGATTGACAACCAGCAGTAAGCAGTCTTTGGGGTTCACCGAACAGCAGAATCGCCATGAGATGTGGTGTAGCACATCTTTGGACCATTCCAGCTGTAGAAAGCAGTGGAGACAGGACAAACAATGGACAATGCACCAACCTAGAGCAGAACGAACTTTCTGCCAGTTTGCAAAGACCTCTTGAGGAGAGTTACCACCACAATTTAAGTCCTCAGCTATCTGGATTATCTTTAAAGGAGATAACTCAAGATCCAGATCAGTCTTGTGAAGGGTTTGTGAACATCCATATGGCGTAATGTGAGTCCCGACGATAAAGAACTTGTGTTTATGAGGGTGGGCAGGATTGTCATTGGAAGCCATGAATGGGAGTCCAGTGAATATGTCTAAATCAAGATCTTGGACAATGAGAGCGTTAATTCAAAATTGTGAGGGGTCCTTGATGGCAGATCAGAGGGATAATGGCGTGTTGGCAACTATGGACATGGGCTTGCACAGCAATCTGGCAGCAGCAACTACTGGAGTGTACATTGAGCTCCTTGGGGGATCACAACTTCTAGAAACCACTGTGGAAAGTTGCTCAAACAAGCTTTCTTTAAAACTAATGAGTTTTAAGTACCTTTACTCTGCTTACTTCTCAGTTAGAACTGGCCACACCCAAAGCCAAAAGTGGTGAGCCTCCATAGTATGCCCATCAAATCTTTACTACAACTGAAGAAATCATCACCAGCTCTGAATTCTTTGGTTGATTCTTTGCAACAATAATTATTATTGTCTTCCACCTTCTTTTTTTCAAGGCAAAAGAAATGGTTGCTATGGCAGACAAAGTGGCTTCTAAACTTGAAGAGAAGAAAGGATCATTCACAGAAGATGAGGTAATGAAGCATCTTTCTTTCTCTCCTTTTCATTGATGTCATCCATTTAAAACTAATGGTTATTTTGGTTGTTATAACATGGTGGAATGCAGGGTGGGAGTGGCTGAGGGAGCTTTGTATTGTATTCTTTAAGACTTTAAGTCTCTAGCATCCCCTGGTGCTTGGAATATGTTTCACCATCCCAAGAAGAGCAATTTTTTGTTTAAGGTGGTTCCCTGTCAAACTTCATAGTAACGGTAAAATGCATTGCATATTTCAGACAGTGATGTTCAAGTCTTACCTGCTAAGCATGGGCATAGCTAATCCTGTGACAAGGTAATAATTATGTTCAAGTTTAAGGTGTTAAATGAATTAGGATGTTGCTCAATGTACATCTAAAGAGTAGTGATGGGAACAATCCCCCTCCCCCACCCCAATGATAATTTTGTTCCTGTGGTGCTGGACACATACATACCCAGTTTTATCCATGGCTGCACTTCTGTATCATAATTATTTTTGATATAATGATTTATTTAATTTATTTAATAATATTGATAATTTTTATTGGTCTCATCCCAGTTGTTCAAAAGATGGATAGTGTATATTGCCGTATATCCATCAGCGTTAGGGGAACCTTGCCTAGTCCCTGTTCGGCGTTTTCCCAGTCCCTGTCGGTCAATTCGCTTCGGTGACTTATCCGAGGCGAACGGGCGGGGAACACATTTTCGCATGGACCACGTGACCCGAAACGCTTTGGCCGCCAGGAAAAATGAGGCCTAGGGACTAGGCAAAGGGGAACCATTGCGTTATCCACTAAATAAAACTATTCCATCTTTTGAACAACTAGGGCCCTTTATACATAGAAATACGTTATACTCACACCTCACCAGAACCGGGAAAATCTAGATGTTAAAGTTTTTGTCGTAATATAGGTGTCTCGATATTTTTGACCAACTAGTTGGATTTTACTAAAACAATTATTCCTCCATCCTTAATGGCCTCTGAGTCAATAGCCTATGAGGCCTTTCTATTGACTCAGAGCTCATTCAGGCTCGAGGAATAATTGTTAATGAATATAAATCATAAATGCCGGTATCTTTTTGTGCGTTGTTTTAAATAAACTGAAATAAAAAATTGCTTTCCATGAACACTACCTCAACACATTGTTGCTTTGTTTTATTGGTGTTTTTTTGTATGTCAGGGAGACACATGGCTCGAGTGCCAGCTATCACAAAGAACTGGCCAAAGAGCTTGGTACGTTCTTAGAGAAGATCATCAAGGTACGTATTCAGTAGTTATATGAGGGCTCCGGTTTGGTCTGGTCTGGTCTGGCCAGTCCGGGACGAGTAGGATTTGTTAGAAGCTTACTTGCCTGATGGGCAAGCCGGGGTCCAGGCAACTTAGCTAAGACAAGCAATAGTTGCCGCCCACTCCCCTCCCCGGGTAAGCAAAATGTGACAGCTGCTTGCCTGAAGGACGTGCTGGAATTAATTTTTTTCGTGCCCTGAGTTATATTGCACACCTGATCCTGTATCAGCTGTACGTGTACAGTAAAGAGGGGGTGATTTGGGCATTTTGTTTAGCAGATTAAGGGTTTGTGAATCACTACTTCGGTCTACTTAGGGAGTTGAACGTACTCCTAACGTTTAGTATTTTAAAAACGTTTCTCATGGAGGTGAAAAAACCACCACATCTGAATGGGTCCTTTACTATGGTTATAAGAATAAGGCGTTTGATAAGAGTGTTCTTATAAGGACTTTAAACTTTGACTGGAACTCAGAGTTTACACTCGATGCAGGTCGTTAAAAGTAAATCCAAGCCGCGCACTGAAATGTTGTGAAGGGCCAAACTGAGCTCTTGCGACGCAGCTGTCGAAAGTTCAAGCTAAAGATTAGAACAACGCATAAATTACTCATTGAAGTATTCAATTTTTTCAGTTGATGAGAAAATGTTCTTTTGTGATGACTGTACAATTGATGTGTATATGACATAGCCTGGAAATATAGGAGAGCTAAGTCGTTTGCAAACAAATACCCTTTATTTACCAGATAAAGGAAAGGATTCTGCTATTTGATATTTGTCACTACATATTGAACTTAATATAGGAAGAATTTAAAAATCTAGCAGAATCTAATTACTTGTGCATGTTGGCATTTTAAGGAGGAAGGGGGCATGATGACTTTGAGTGATGTATACTGCAGATTCAACAGAGCAAGAGGAATGGAGGTTTGTGATAAATCTGAGAAAATGCTTTGAAGCCTGCGCTGGAACGCAGTGAAGGACTCGCTGCATAACAGGCGACGAGGAGGTTTCTTTTCTTCCATATCCTGTCGTGGCTGATAGCCATGAATGAAGTTCACTGCACTTGACTGCACTGCGGCAAAACATGACAAAACCGCCAGCTTCAGTATGCAGGCTAAGCCAGCTGTGAGGAGACATCCGTTAGCATTTCTAATACGTTTGATCGCCATCCCAGGGGGGCCTAGAGTCAAACCAGGATCGTGCTCTTGTCGTAGATTTTTGGCTTCGTCAGTGAGATTTAGACCTGTACCTCCCTCTGCTAAAATGGTGAAGTCAAAAAAGAAGGAATCGAATTTTAGATAATAATAATAATAATAATAATAATAATAATAATAATAATAATAATAATTTAATAAAATCTGAATCTTTTATTGATAAGAAAACTAACTACAAAATCCGACCTATTTACAATTAAATTTTGCTTAAAGAAAAAACTATCCAGTACAAGTACTATTTACAATTCATTTCAATTAAAAAAACCCACATAGTTCAATAATAATAATAATAATAATAATAAAAAACATCCGCCGGGAGAGTAAGCAAGCGAGGGTTGGTTTGTCTAATTCGTGGTGTTTTTTTATTGCAGCTGGTTTCTCCTGATGATTTAGTGAATGCAGCCAAACTGTTTTCATCAGTGAAGATACCATTAAGGTAAGCCACTGTCCTCCTACGTAATGGCATCGAAGTCATCAGGTTTCTCTGCCTTACTTCCTGTGTTGTTGTCGGTTATTAACCCCTTAGTACTTTATGTGTTTTCTCGGCCTTCTAGATTCAGAGCTTTCGAAAGTGGTGTGTTAGTTGTTCAAGCGTTGTCTCATAGTGATGAAGAAGTTATACGAACCACTAAACAAATTGTAAGTAAATGTTCTCACGTATTCATCATTCCCACACTCCTGATAGCCAATCCTGAGCTTTCGTGTGGCGTTTCATGTAATTAAGTTATTGCTATGTTATCGATGATAATTTTATTAACAGATGTGCAGGATTTGCAAAGGACGTCGTCTATTTAAGACCCTTACCTAAATGAAAGTCTACAGAGTTTCATGTAATTGCAAAATGTTTGTAACAAGTACCAATTCCAGTTGCCGTTTTTCTCTTAGCTCGATGAAAAACATTCAGTTACCGCAGAAGAACTGGCCCGTTTGATCAATATATCGGTCATGTTAGCAAAAGAAAGGTGAGCACTCGTTTTACTGAAATATCAAAATTTTAAATTAATTATTAACAGTTGTAGCTACTATTGCTAACTGCCAACCAAGGAAAAAGAATCCGATTTAAATGTGAAGTCTTTGCATCTGTACGGTGTAGGTCGCACGTGTCAAGAAATTCGTCTACTTAAGGCCTGTTTACATGGAGTGGGGGACCCCCGTCTAGTAGGGTAGGTTTCTTTTGTTTTCACGCTGTGGCGGACACAAAACAAAAGAAACCTTCCCCACTAGACCGGGGTCCCCCACCTCCATGTAAACAAGGTCTAATACTCGAGTTGTCACAAAGGTGGCACACTGGCCAATGAGCACTTGGTTCACTTTATGAGGTTACTAAGCTTCTGATTTTGAACGCGCTGGTTCAAATATAAACCGTCTAAACTGTGGCACGCTAGCCAGTTTAACTACGAGTTTTTTTCAGCTTTGTTACTGAAACAAACATCTTTTATTGTTTATTGTTTTGTTTGCCATAAGTTATACAAAGCAAAAAAAAAAAAAGATGATGAAAGATGATGTTGAAAGATAGCCTCAATGCACATAACATTGGAAGTGACTCAGTGTAAACTAATGTGGCTACGTATCAACAAGAACAAACTACTCGTAAGGTGAAGTTGGCTTGATTATCGCATCCAATAGAGGTAGTTAATGGTGGACACGGCTCGTTCTTTTGGATTGAGTCTTTCATGGACTAATTTGAAAATTCTCTTAAGCGCAAGGAGAGGTCCATCCTCAGAGACCGAGAGTCAGTTGTTTGGGACGAAGTATGAAGGGACCGGCGAAGTAATTATTTGCCCCTGGTCTCTTTAGGGCACAAGAGGGACTGCTCAGGGACTTGTACAAATGGAGAGTACATGTAGAAAAAGCAGTTGCCTCTAGGCTGTTCACAGTCCTCTATTTTTCCGTAAGATCATCGAGATCGAGCGCTTTGCGTTACGGGCTGCCACCTTGCACGAGTGTTAAAACTACTTAGCCAAGAGCTATAATCCCCGACGCCCGCACCCTCGGTACATTTGAAAATCAAGATAGCCGTGACGGTAAGAACGATCTCACGAAAAAATAGGGGAGTGTGAACAGTCTACGTTGCCTCTCATTGATTAATGCAATGTAGGTGCAAAAGAAGAATCGGTAAAAGTAATAAAAATAGGCAATATCCAATGTCTTCCAGGAAGCAAGCGACAGGCCAGCTGAGTTTCAAATTCAGTATTAAGGTTCATACTTGGTTCCGAGAAGGGGAATAAAACAAAAGAAATGCAACTGAGATTCAAGGGTGACTAGTTCATTACTTTTGCTTTACTCCCCCCATCCCCGGAGGCAGATATGCCTTCAATATTTTCTGCAAATCGGTTACTGGGTCGACGTGTCCAGTTTAAGAATGCTTTTAGTGTAGTGTCAGCTTTTTCACAGAAAAGGCCTTTTTTGTTTAAGGTATTGTTTCTCTATTAACAAAGTTTCTATCTCGTGGCAGGCTTTTAGTTACGGAACAAGCTGGCAAGGCATGTCGGGATGACAGCGTGGAGGGACTACGTTTTTACCCAAACCTGTTTCTCGACAGAAGAGATTGATAAAACACTCAAGAAAGATGGAAATGAGAACATTATAGTAATGAGATGGGCGCGCATCCTTTCAATGTGCGACAACTAGAAAAATACGCCATGAGCACGTCATGGAAAAACCAAATAGCTTTTAAAATACGCCTGCGCTTGAGGGAAGCGAGACGTTTTGTAATTCACTTTTCTTGGTGAATAAAGGAGTAACCTACTCAGTATCGTTTCGTGTCTCTCTTGTTCTTGTTCAGTGCGGGGCAATCCAAGTCATTCTAAAACAGGTCCTACTTTTAAGGCATGCTTAGCCCACACCTATGCAAAACCAAAACGAGCATGCCCTCGTCCGGGCTAGAACGTTGAGTCGCTCTCGTCGCTTTTTTGATACGGGCGGATTGCCAAAAGACAAACTGGCTACAAACTGATAAAATATTTTAATTTATTTGTAATAAACTTCGTTGTGAAGTCCATTCTTCTCCTTTTTTGAGCGGAGTAGCGTCCTTCAAAAGGCTGAAACACAACACCCTCTTATTGACTGTCAAGTCCGTCCATCATACCAAGATGTCACCATCTCTCAGAGTTGTCCAGCACCATTCAAATTTGTAGAAACTCTGTTTTCTTTTCCATTTATATTATTACTTCTCGAGTTGCTTCATTTGCCAAAGTCCATCATTTAAGAAATGAATTACTTCAATGCCAATGCCTTTGTTGGTTTCACGTCTGTCGAAGAGAAAAAATGAAATTTAATTCAATGCCTACTTTCGTTTCACTTGCACTGGCTGAGCTTTGAAACTGCCTCAAAACTTGCAAAACATGATCACAGGAACAATAAAGGTGACGTGTGGTATTTTATGAGGCAAAGGCTCCGCATTCCCTTCCGTCACCCACCTTCAGCTTTCAGTGTTGACATGCGTTATGTTCGTGGTCGTTGTGAAATACTTACATTTCTTCTGACGACATTGTCATTTTTCCGATGGCTACTGCATGTTGTTTTCCCTCAGCAGTTATTGCCTGAAGAGAATGTTAAGGTAACAATGTTTATTTTAGATACAAGCTTAACACTACTTCCCTTTGAGCCCTGAATAAATCATTATTACTGTACAGGCCTTTCTGGAATATCGTCGTATTCAGGGGGATCTTGGCACAAGCTTGTGCGAAGAATCAACTTTTCAACAATTTGCATTGTACCCACACTTGCACACGTATGCAACATTTCAATTAATAAATGTTGGCTTGAAGTGGCTCTGTTTTTTCTGGGGCAGCCCCTCCCAATTTTGAGCGCAAGCTACGTGCTATTAGAGTAACACGGTTACCACAGCTGTAAGTTGAAAATTCGTTTTGATCATTGTCATATATTGACACCGGAGTTCTCGTAGCAGCGTAATGACGTCAATGCTTATTCTACTTGTCATCGTATTCGTCCTCCAATAGCTGCCTCAATGTTTGTAAAAGTTTGACAGGAATAATGCGCGTTGTCAAACATATCAACGAGGCGGATCAAAATCTTTCAAAGAATAACGGGCGTTTCGGTTCTTGCCGACGTTTACACAGCAGACCCAGCTGGAAAACTATACCAAACGTTGGGGTTGGGGCGACTACAATGGAATTGCACGATTATTGTAGAGCCACTTTTTTGCCTCTTCTTTAAAGACAAAGGTAAGAGGCTCTGTTGGCACTAAATGTCACCGCTTCTCCGGATCTGTCTCTTCCTGCCTGTCTTTGTGGTAAACAATTGTTTGATCTCGTCCTGAGTAGTATAGTAGAGATGAAATTATTCCTCGCGGGGAAATCTCAGAAGGAGGAGGGGAGGGGTAAGTAAAGAAATCGTGTTTCGTGCCACAGTGGAACCTTGTTTTAACGAAATCCTCGTACGGAACTTTCCCTTAAAAATAAAACTTACACAGAGCGCCTTACAAACGACTTGTAACGAAATTAAGCAACGCCAATCTGACTTAACAAAAATTGACAAATTTGACTTACAATACGGTTACAGATATAAAAATAACAAGAGACAAATAAAGAGTTTGCAAAACCAATGACATCACGGCTGACTGGTAACTTATAGACAGTCAATCAGATCACAACCTAATTGACCAATCAGGTCAATGGATAAAGTTCAAACACCATCAACTGGTGACACTGTAGAAGAACAAATCATTGTCAGACAGCCAAGACTGTGTTTCAATAAAATTGTTAAGAGCCCAACAATTATTTCCGGGTTGCACCAAGGCCTATTACACATCACCAGCCCTACTTAGGATTACATTCATATTTCAACTAACAGTTTTTTTAAGTACTACTATATTGGTGGCAAGCAAGGATACAACTACAGTTCCTTTGGGTAAGGCAGCTAGTTTAGCACCTGGGCTTGTTAGTCCTCTGCACATTACGTTAGCACCACTTAAAAGAAATTTGATCGCACCCTTGTCAACTTGCTGCTGAGGCAGGATTAAAGGATCTAAAATAAAGTGAATAAAATGTAATGCTAGATACACAAATCTATGGGATCTGAAGCTAACAAGAGGTAGCTATTTACAAAATGTTCCAACCATAAAGCTTGATGCTTTGAATACAATGTACGTGGTCATTAATGATTCCCTTGTGTTACAGTTACATGACTGTACTGTAACAAAAAACTGCCAAAACAAAAGGGACCACTTGCTCAAAGACTGGTTAGCACTAATCCACTTAAGTTCAATTTCTTAAAGACATTTTAGGCTGCAACTGTTGGGAGATCAGTATGTCTGGGTCACAATTCCAACTATATACACAAACATATAATGATTCCTCAAAATGCCCACAGCGATTGTAGAATTGATAGAAGTTATGAATTTGTCAAAGAGGCCTTGAGATTTCTACCACTAGTCTCACACAATGCTTTTTAGGCCCTGTCACATCTTCTGGATGACAACATCTAATAATAATGATTTGAAGATTTCTTTGGCATGGCTTTGAGTTTATTCATCTTATGTCAAATGATTAATTTGTCATAAGTATGTGTACAAAAGCTTCCCAGAAATTGAAAAAGCCATGGAAAAGGTCTATGCAGGCCAGCATTTTTTAATACTGCCTTAAGCCGGTGCAAACAGATGCAACATTGTTGGCAAACAACTCCCAACATTGTAGACTGTTACATGTTACATCCTTTTGCACACCCTGTTGCATGTTGTTGTGTGTTGTTGGAAATAGGAATTAACACTTAAAACTAAGAAAAGACTTGAAAATGGGATGGGGCAAAAATTCTAATCTTTATTATTGACAAAAATTAAGCAAACGAGCCAGAACAAGTTTAAACCTCCCAGGTAGGGAGGGAGTGTTGACGCTGATTTGCACGACACATTAAATGACTGCTAAATGCAAAGGTTCACATAGATAAGAGCATACAATAAACAAAGTCCTATTGATGTTTAGGGTTACGGGTAAGCCATAACCTAAATCATCTTAATTAACTATTTTGACAATTCAAACCAACCAGAGTTGTGGCACAGAGTTTGAAACCAGCCAAAATTTTAGCTACCTGCAAATGGACACAACAACTCCCAACATTGTTCACCAACAAAGTTGGTAGTTGTTGGCTCTGTTTGGACGTAGCTTTACAATAGAACAAAAAGATGAATAATAAATTATTATGATTTCTTTTCAAGTCACTTACATTTATGAAGAAGTCTCAGTGATGGTAAATAATCCCCCTCTCTTTGTCGGAAGAATAGAATTTCTTGATTGATTGATAATATTTCAATGTGTTCATGGCTACGAAAAAGGATAAAAAAAAATTTTAATAATTAAACTTTCCAATGAAAAACCTGTATTTTTAAACCCAGCACGAATATCAAACTTTTCAGGTGACAAAATAAACTGAGCGAAATGAGTTCATATTTAAATTCAACAAATTTAGATCATCTCAGTTACACTGTATGTTCAACTTCATACTTTGGGGACAAAATTAATATTATGCATATCTCAAGAGATGAACGAACTCCATGAATAAATTTAAAATTTGCATGATACTGTAAAATATTTATTTGATTGATAAATTTTATCCTCATCACAAAAACATTTTTTTGCAGTTGATCATGTGCAGTCAACTTGTATTGATTCTTATTAGTCCTTCAAAGTCAGCTGACTGAGGCTACAACATGAGCAGTCATGAAAGGTTCAAGGTTTTGTGAAAGAAAAAAAGTGCCCTCTACAGTGTGAGTGCTATCTCAAATTATGAAGCATACAAACATCAAAGGGTACATGTTAAAGTGTGCTGTCTATCTGAACAGTTTGTATGTCTGTATCAAGCCATTTGTTAAAAAAAACTGTAAGATTCATTTACCAGGACAAAGAAAACTGTCTGTTATGTTAGCAAATTTTTGTAAAGTGGGATTCCTACAAATGAATGTAGCTGTTTCACATCATGTTTGTTCCTTTGAAATTAGTTCAATGCTTAGTTAAGTTCAACATTTGACTCTGCAGAACCGAACTCAATTAAGGTTGACCCAAATCACAATTTGGTTTGTCTTACGAAAAGTTCAATGTCTGGCCCCTGCCTGAGTTATTCTTTACGCATAAAGGAAGAAATCAATACAAAACTGTGTTTATGATTCAGAAAGCAGAATTACTCTATTTTTTTATATATTCAATTTGTGCAAGAGTTCAGACATGTGCAAGTAAAGATATGCAGCTAGGTAGGCTAAGTTTTAGAATTGACTTTTTTCCTACGTGTATCTCTTTCCCATATATTGCAATGTTTATTAGCTCTTTATCTAAAACAAGAATTTTGGGATATTGCAATTTTTATTAGTTTTTTATCGAAAAAACAAAAATTTTGGCTTATACACGAGACCCCTTCAAAGGGAGTAAACTGGCTTGTAGGGGTCACAAATTGAACTGAAAACCTTGATGGTTTCCAGCATTTGTTTACTTGTGTCCTTCTCTGGTGTCCAGACTTCCCTCGTCAAATAAACGCGTGGTTACTAAGCAATCGTTTTGTAGCATTCTCCAGCGCTTTATTTTCGTTCCATCGTTCCATTTTCATTTCAACTGTGAGCTTTAGCAATGAAGAGAACTGTTGTCTTTCGCAGGAAATGGGGAAGTTGATTAAAGAGAACCTTTTAAAAGGTATTTTCAGAGTTGATTAACTTATTTAAAATGTCACTGCAAATACACAACATTAAATTTCCTCAAGTTTATTTGTGAACATTTTGATGCGCGAACAAACGATCACCTTTTTTACAAAAGCGCTTTTTTTTTTTTTTTTTTTTTCAAAGTCATGCTTGAAAGTTGGGGGTGCGGCTTATACACGAGTGCGGCTTATACACGAGTTTTTACGGTAACTGCAGCTGCCTTTGTTCAGTTGGTAGAGTGCTGGCCCCAGTTGTTCAAAAGTTGGATCGAGCTATCCACTGGATCAATCACTATACAATAGATAAGTATTAGGTGAACCAATGGCGCTATCCAGTGGATAGTGTTATCCACCTTTTGAACAACTGGGGACTGGTCTGCAGAGTGGGAAGTCGCAGGTTTGATTCTCTAGACCAATATTTAGGGTCTTACAATAACTGAGTAACTTGAGGGTTCTGCCCTTGCCTGGCAAATGGTTAGACCTTTGCTTGGCTCAGATGATGATTAAGAAGTGCTCCAAAAGAAGACATAACACACGTCCTTTGTACTACCAAGCAAGAACAAAATTTTTACAATACAAGTGACAATATAAGGTATTGTTATTATGTTGGCCAACTTACATTGTAGCAACTAGAGGGAAATAAGTTTCTCTGTATATAAAAGAATATACATAAAAGAATACTCAAAGTTGTCAACAGAATGATATCAAAATAATTATTACATTCAGTCCTTCCTCAACCCACTACTTCCGTAACAATCCAGGTTCAACACTGGTAGGTCCACCATGGCACAAATCCTGACACTAAGAAAAATTAATGAAGGGATCAGAGCCAGAAACTTGCTGGCAGTAATTACATTCATTGACTTCAGAAATGGCTTTGGTTCTATGAACAGGAGAAAGAATTGCTTCAGATTCTCAAGGCCTATGGCATCCCCAAGTGACTGGTGGATGCAATAATGGTATAACCCACAAGGAAACACAAGCTACATGTACAAATTGTAATCTCCTTTCCCCTGACAGTGCAGAAACTGAATTCTTCAAAATCACCACAGGTGTGCTACAAGGATATACTCTTGCCCCTTACTTGTTGATAATAGTATTGGACTATGTAGTCCGGTAGGCTATTGATGGACAGGAGGAGAGCCTTGGACTTAAACAAAAAGGCAAGCAAAGACAAGGTCACAGAGTTTAGGCCGAAAAAGTCACTGAATCTAAAAGTTGCAGACAACATTGCTCTTTTTAGTGGTCAGTTTCAACAAGAGCAAGAGCTACTCAGAAATGTTGAAGAATTACCAGTCAATGTTGGTCTTCTACCAAATGCAAAAAAGACAAAATAGACATTTTTTAACCATCAGCTGGGCGCAAAAAACGAGACAACAAAGTAATTGAACCTCTTGAGAACTTTAAATACCTGGGTTCATGGATCAGTGACTCAGAACATGACTTCAAGTTCAGAAAGGCTTCAGTTTGGATAGCTTGCAACAAAATGAGAAACGTATGGACCTCAAAGCTACCACGAGCCACAAAGATCAGACTATTTCAAGCAACTGTGGAGTCTGTCTTACTCTATGGAAGGGAAATGTGGACCCTGACAAGGAAGCTGGAGAAGTATCAATGAATAGTGTGAACGGCCCTGAACGTGCACTGGCAACAACATATGAACAACCACGAACTACATGGGAGCCTCCCAAGAGTCAGTAAAACAATTTTCATGCACAAAGATTAAGATAAACTGACCAGTGTGCTCATCACAATGAGGAGACTACTTCAAAAGTGCTGCTTTGGGAACCCCAGCATGGTCACCCAAAGCGTGGTAGACCAAGAATTACATACATTGAGAACATCAAGGCTGACTGTACTGGACTGGACAATACAAAAGAAATAAGAGATACAATGCTCGATCAGGTCATGTGGAAATATTTTGTTAGCATGGCTCAGGATGAATCCCGGCCTAAGTAAGTAAGGGAATCCTGCAAATGCTTCTCTCTATATGGAATGCTGAATTAAATGCTCATGACAAAACAACCTTAATTTCTCAACTATTACTAGCTGGCCCACTATAACTAGTCGTAGCTTTCGCTAAGTGCCAACGAAAGAAAAAGACTTTGCCTACATCATCGGTTTTAGTTCCAATGTTTATAAAACCATGTTAGCTGCTGAGCCGAGAATTTCCACTACAAGCACTCCTCGTTCCTACATTTCTGCCATGCTCTTGGTTCTAAAATTGCTCTTATTCTTATGCTTAGACATTTTTGAACCTTAAACTTGTCGAGTTTCAAACAGCGAAAGGGAAATAACATTTATAGGTTAACGCAAACTTGAAATGGCGAGTTGTAGTTCGTACAAGTACAGTAGTGTGGCAGAGAACATTGTCCAAACTTTGAAGGTTCGTCCGTTTACAACAAAGGTCATCAAAAGTCACGTGAAACTACTCATGAAATCTAACGCCACTAAAATCCCCAGGGAATTTACACCTCACATTACACTTTTCACAGCAGGATCGAGAGTTTTTCTGCCTGCTGCAATATTTTGCGTGGCATTAAGCTGGCCGCCTCGCAAGCCGACTGTCTGCGCTCGGCTTGCTCGTTGGCAATTAGCCGCCCTGACCACACTAATTCACTTTTGTTTGAAAACACATACATTTTGATGCATTAAGGCCTGCCATCTGCACTAATATGCTTAGTGTTTTCATAAGAAATGCATCAATTTGAAACTGCAAACAACTGTATTAGTGTTGACAGCCAAAAACGGTAGAAAACACATCAGACCGAAAACAATGGCGTCATATATACCACGTGTGTTGAACCTGGGCATACCCGAGCATGCGCATAGAGTTTGACTTACATCACACATGCAGATCTAACCTTTTTGAATGTTTTAGTTTGGACAGTCAAAAATGCATCAAAACAGTACTGTGGACGCAAATCGATCAATCTGTTTTCAATGACTATGAAAATGCATACTTTTGAAAATGTATTTTAGTGGACAGGGTGTCAGTAACCCCGGCGTTTCATAATGTAACTTATTTAACCCTTTGCGGCCCAATGGCCGATATATCGCCCATAACAAGAAAGAGAAGATTTTGGCTCAGCGGATTCTCCATATTTAGTCCCCAGACCTCTCTAGGCTAAAAAACTCATTCGCCATCTTGGATACTTAGATTTTCGTAGTTTCAGACGATTTTAGCTTGCTTTAGTGAGACTTTTTTTACTTTCTTCGACTGTCAATTTTCCTGGGAAATTTTAAAGGTCATTTAATCATGGCAAGCGCTAAACGGCGCTACACTGTGCCAGAAGTATTGGACTATTTGGACGGTAACTTCGATATCCCCGACGATGGAGTAAATTCTGACATCGAAGGCCTTGATGATGATTTGGATGAAGAAAATGATCTGCTTCCTGAAGTGGCTGTCTCTGAAGATGAAGGTGACGAAAATGTACACCTCGCCGCTCTTGATATCAAGGAAAACGGTGATCAGGATAGTGGCAGAGGAAGACCAAGCAATGTAAGTCTAAATGACTTTGAATGGAGTAGTGTGAGAAGTGACATTGATATTCCCAGCTTTTCGCAAGCTGTTGGACCAGCGAATGTTATGCCCAGAGAGTCCTTAGCTGTAGACTTTTTCCAACTGTTTGTTGATAATCGTATGTTGGGAAATATCACAAGAGAGACAAATCGCTATGCCTGTCAGTTATTACAAGCTAGAAACAAAGATGTTCGTAGCTGGAAAGAGGTTTCTCTTGAAGAACTGAAGGCATTTTTGGGCCTTCTCATTGCCATGAGTATTCACAGGCTCCCAAGTTTGCGAGATTACTGGTCATCTGACTGGGTGCTGGGGGTCCCAGAATTTGCAAAAGTAATGCCTAGGAACAGGTTCTTGGAGATCTGGAACAACCTCCACCTTTGTGACAACAGCAAAATGCCACAGCGTGGGGAGCCAAATTTCGACAAGCTTTTCAAGGTGAGAGAATTTCTCAATGACCTGAACACTAACTTTCGAATAAATTACAATCCCCACCGTGAGCAAGCTGTTGATGAGGCGATGATAAACTACAAGGGAAGGACCTCCCTGAAGCAGTACATGCCTATGAAGCCAATAAAGAGGGGGATCAAGATGTGGTGCAGAGCTGACAGCACCAATGGTTACCTGTGTGAATTTGACATTTACACAGGTAAATCCCCACAAGGAGTGCAACATGGCTTGGGATACTCAGTGGTCACCAAGCTTTGTCAACTTGTTCAAGGCCACTGGTATGCAATTTTCTGTGACAATTTTTTTACCTCATACAGGCTTATTGAGGAATTGTATCTCAACAAAATACTCTGTTGTGGGACTTTGAGATCAGGCCGAAAAGAGTTCCCTGCATGCCTCTATGACAAAGCAGCGATCTAAAGAATGAAGAGGGGTGATGTGGTGTGGAGAATGAAGGGTCCAGTGTTGGCTTTAACATGGATGGACAAGAAAGCAGTCCATGCAACTGGCACCTACACCCAAGCCCCTGCACAGCAACTTCCTGAGGTGAACCGCAAACAACAGAATGGCACCATTGAGAAAATACCCTGTCCCGAATTGGTTTCATCTTACAACACTTACATGGGTGGTGTGGATAAAAATGACCAGATGAAGTCTTACTACCCCATCCCAGTGGCTGGAAAGAAATGGTGGAGCAGAATCTTCTATGATCTTATTGATAGATCCATTTACAACAGCTTTGTACTTGAGCAAGAATCTACACACCATGCAAAACGGAGTCAGAAGCTGTTCCGGATTGACCTTGCCAAACAGCTAATTGGCAATTTTTCTTCGCGAAGAAAGCGTGGAAGGCCCTCTGATGAACATTTATTGGCTAGACATATTGAAAGACATTTCCCTGACTTTCTCCCAACCAATGCGAAGGGGAAAAGATTAGAAAGGAGGTGCAAAGTTTGTTATGATGGAGGAAAGGTGAAGAGGACCAGCTATTATTGTCCTGACTGTGACGTCGGCCTTTGTGCTGCGCCTTGCTTTCGACTTTACCATCAGCCATAGACTCTTCACTATGTCAAAAGGAACACAGGAAATGTTTCTAATGTGTATATACCATTTTTTTGTACTTTACACTGGTCATTTTTTACTGCAAGTCAACTTTTTGGTTTTGCTGGGTTGCGTGACATGTCACGTCGCTTGACAAAATGCTATGTTCTAAGGGTTTGAAATTTTAAAAAGTAGTTAAATTTGGTGTTAAATTGCTCAGTAGACATTTAGCTTCGTTTTGTACTACAATCCTTAATTTTCCTAAAATACCACAGGGTTGTACAGGCATGGAAAGAACATTACTTTATATTTGTGTCACATTGATTATCTGTTTTGTCACATCATGACAGGTGTCAATCAACATCAAACGTTTTTCTGAACACTGCAATGTAAAGTCTAGCTATTAGTGATGTTTCTCTCAAAGTTTGGTAATCATAGCTTAAAATCTCAATATTTTACAGTTTTTAGTTATTTTAGCATTGGAAAACTTAAATAAATTCCAAAATAAATTTGGGCTGTAAAGGGTTAAAACAACAATTATTGACCTTTCTCATAAATAGATATAAAATAAAATTTAAAAACAGGGAAAAGGAAGACCCACAATGGACTTACCATTTCACCACCACTAAAGACTCTTTTTTAGGAAGTATTTCTGCCATGAAATCTTCTATGGGAGGAAACTGCTCAACAAGTTTGGCCTTTATTGCCCGCTGAACAGATGACTTTACTTGACTTACTCCCGAGACAGCTTCCCCAGCCTGAAATCTGGTGGATAAAAAAAAAACGTGAAAGAAATATATCATAAAGAAGAAAATGTTTTTCATGAGACAAATTCCAATATAGTCCTTTCCAATGAAATTTCACTCAAGGCCATAGTGCGAGAGATTGGTTTAAACCAGTTTAAACACACCACAACTCGTCAACAAAATATTTTAGATGGAACTTATACCAAGTAAAAGTTAATTTCTATATAAATATTCAGACCCTTAGTAAGAAAAATCAGTTAACGGCAAAATAACAAAATAGTTCGAGTATTTGAATTAGGCTTGCACTTAAAAGTGGCTTTCCGTCAAAAAAAGGCGGAAGAATTTCTTATAATCTGTGATAAACCATAAACTAACGCGTGATTGTTCTTGAAAACATGCAAATCCCAAGTGACTTTAAACTTCATGTGACCAAGGGGTTTTCCTAAGAGAAAATTGGACACGTTTGTAGTATAACCAAAGAGGAGGGAAGGAAAACAATTTTTATCTAAACAATTGTATAGGATAAACAAAAGAAACACAATATAATTGCTTACTTTTTGAACATATTCCAAAGAAACCGGGAACTTTTTGTCACATGCTCACGCCTGCTTCGGTCGCCTGCGATCATTGCAATCAGCTGTTAAACAAGACGTTATGTACGGCTTAATGAAAACCAAAAACATGCAAAGATGGCGACAGGTCGCGAGACCAGAAGCAATCCTTTGCCGAAATATGTGGTCGGAGAAAAGGTTCTTTGCTACGAACCGGACCCAAATAAGGCCAGAGTTCTTTACGAATCAAAGGTGAAGTTTTATGCGACATTATGTTTCTTTTCTGTCGAAGTTTTATGCTTTCAGAACGAGCCCATGTTTACACAGTCTGCCTGACAAGAAAGAGAAATTATAATAACTAATTTGGCTGTCACATGGACCCGATATCCTCAATATTTGAATCCTTAGAATCATGATATGCCAATTTTTTAAGAACATTAA